GGCCCCTTTGGACAGATCTTCCGGCCCGACAACTTTGTCTTTGGTGAGTGAGCGTGGGAGGGAGGAGTCCCAGAGTGGGAGCTCCCAGCACAGAAAAGGTGCAGAGGGATCATGTGAGGGACCCTGGGGGACCTAAACACCCAGAGGACAGCGGGGGTGGAAGCGAGGGGTGCAGCCCATGGGGCGGGGGAAGTGGGATGCTCGGTTCCTCTGCAGGGCACTAATGTGGCACCTTGCCTCTGGTCCGCCCTCTAGGTCAGAGCGGGGCTGGCAACAACTGGGCCAAGGGGCACTACACGGAAGGTGCCGAGCTGGTGGACTCTGTCCTGGATGTGGTGAGGAAGGAGTCGGAGAGCTGTGACTGCCTGCAGGGCTTCCAGCTGACCCACTCGCTGGGCGGCGGCACGGGCTCCGGGATGGGCACCCTCCTCATCAGCAAGATCCGGGAGGAGTACCCCGACCGCATCATGAACACCTTCAGCGTCATGCCCTCCCCCAAGGTGTCGGACACGGTGGTGGAGCCCTACAATGCCACCCTCTCTGTGCACCAGCTGGTGGAGAACACGGACGAGACCTACTGCATTGACAACGAGGCCCTGTATGACATTTGCTTCCGCACCCTGAAGCTGACCACTCCCACGTACGGGGACCTCAACCACCTGGTGTCGGCCACCATGAGCGGCGTGACCACCTGCCTTCGCTTCCCCGGCCAGCTGAACGCCGACCTGCGCAAGCTGGCGGTCAACATGGTGCCTTTCCCCCGGCTGCACTTCTTCATGCCGGGCTTCGCCCCCCTCACCAGCCGCGGCAGCCAGCAGTACCGCGCCCTGACGGTGCCCGAGCTGACGCAGCAGATGTTCGACTCCAAGAACATGATGGCCGCCTGCGACCCCCGCCACGGTCGCTACCTGACGGTGGCCGCCATCTTCCGGGGCCGCATGTCCATGAAGGAGGTGGACGAGCAGATGCTCAACGTGCAGAACAAGAACAGCAGCTACTTTGTCGAGTGGATCCCCAACAACGTGAAGACGGCCGTCTGCGACATCCCCCCGCGCGGCCTCAAGATGTCCGCCACCTTCATTGGCAACAGCACGGCTATTCAGGAGCTCTTCAAGAGGATCTCGGAGCAGTTCACGGCCATGTTCCGGCGCAAGGCTTTCTTGCACTGGTACACCGGCGAGGGCATGGATGAAATGGAGTTCACGGAGGCAGAGAGCAACATGAATGACCTGGTCTCCGAATACCAGCAATACCAGGATGCCACTGCTGACGAGCAGGGGGAGTTTGAAGAGGAAGGAGAGGAGGATGAGGCTTAAGTCCCCTGGTATCAAAGGAACTTTTGTAAAGCAGGCATGTGTACTGAATGACTTCTGATAGTGGTGGTGAAGCATGTTCTCTAGAAACTGTGTACCCAATTATCCTCTCAGCACTTGTAACTTTGACAGATCTCTCAATGTAACAGTTCTGAATCCCAGTTATTACAATGTTTTTGACCTTCAATGTTAAGAGCACATAAAGGCATGTATTCTAGATCATGTTTTCTGTCTTTTTTTAACACCTTTATTGGACACAGAACAGCTAATTTGGTCTATGTGGCAAGAAGTAACTTAAAAGAAACCTTGCAGGACAGTGGTGTGCTCTGCTTCACTGAGGCTTATGTTCTCAAAATGTATGGTTCTCATGCCAGTATCTTTCCTGTTTTTTCTTACAGGATTCAAACCTATCTGTAACTTGAATGAAAATGGAAAGCCAACTAGAAATTCCTAAACAAGTTAAAGACAAACGCCTCTAACGTGTTTTACAGTTTCAGTTAGCGTAGGAAATCTTCCACTTGTCTGTTGAAGTCATCTGCAAAACGCAGGTGTAGATTATGCTTTCCTTCTGGCATCAGAAGCAACCTTAAAAGAGAAAAATCAAACACTGAATATACATTATATTCTGTGAGCATAAGTAACTAAAATATTTGTTGCCTTTTCCTTGCTCTTGGTTACCCAAGCACAGATCTAAGGAACTCCTGTTTTAAGTACTATTCTTATCTATGTGGTTCATGTTCTGAACCACAGCAACAGTTGAAGCAACAAGCATGCTATTTGCCCCATTCTGGAGAGGATAAGCTTAAATCAAGTTTTTGTGTCCTAGACCCAGTTTCTAGGAACCTTTTTGGTGGTCTGCAAAGAAGATAAGATTCCAAAACTTAGGTGAGCAGGATACCATCTTTGAAAGGTAGGTGTGAAGTACCTGAGCTCTTTGACTCTTTTGGATAACAGTGGTGTGCTGGGCAGTGAACACATTGAAGAGATCACTACAGAAACACAGGTTTCTTGTTGCCACCCAATCTTACTTAGTGTTTGTCCAATCTTTTTGCAAAAAGGCAATCCAAAGCTAGCACCATTCATTCATGCATTAAAGTAAAAAGGGAAGTCAGGACTTCTTCAGCTATAACAAGCTTAGGTAGGTTAATCTTTGTAATACTGATATGAGTATGACAAGCCTAAAATGCTACTTGCCATTTTTTTTTGGACTTCTTTTCTTTGTATAGGGGTGGGAAATTCTTTAAATCACTTTATCCTACCACATACAGTTTCAACATGCAATTTCAACAGAGCTAAAACCATCCTGACTGATCCTTTGCTATGTTGCCTTCATGTCATCTAAGCCCCATTACAGCAAGGGGTATCTTTCTTTTGGTGGGTAACAAGTGCTGTTTTGTCTTGGGGAAAAGAACAATAGCATGTGAACATACCCAGCTCTTCTAGCTATTCTGTCTGAATTTTAAGTTTTTCTACAAAGACCAAGCAGCACATAGTGCTATGGGTTTGTACATCTATGTATGGTATTAGCTACTGCTGTTAAACCATTGTAATGCTACATAAGTCCAGCCATACTGTGCAAATACAGAATGATGGCATGCTCTTTTACCATGAAACAAGCAATGTATCTGCACTGCAATAAGCAAAAGCTTTTTCTACTTGCCTTGATTTTTATCTATTAGTAAAGAAAAGCTGATGGTAGAAGCATGTGTTACTGAAAATATGTTAAATTGAAGGTTTTCCTTTGGCTTTGCAATGGAACATGTCATCTCCAGTGTGCCAAGGGAAGAAGGGGACCATGAACCTAAATATTAATTTCTGAGAACAGCATTAGTCTGATTTCTTTTCTGATAAATACTCATACAGGAGAACACTTCAGCATGGGGACATGCAAAAAATCACTTTACGTTTTATTGGATAGCAACTTCTAATGCTGTTTCCTCCTTGGCTTGTCTTCCAAAAAGAAGCTATCAGATCCTTGTCTAGTTTTGGTGATAACTTGCCTTAGTCAGCATCTGAAGCATTTCAGAGCTCAGTGAAAACTAACAGGATGATAGGTGTTCTGAGCAGGGCATGTGGGAGTAACTAACTAGCAGACATGGAATAAAACATTTGCATGTAATTGTTAGGAAGGTCTCATCTTTCCTATGGTATAATGTATTTCTATGAATAGTGAGGCTGACTTTGAGATAAATATATCACTCAATTTTTCACTAGAGATTACATCAGTGAAACAGTTCCCTACACTCTGCATTCATAAAAATGTGTTTTGCTGTCCTAATTCTTTTCTCCAGTGTTAATCATCACAGTCTGTTATTAAGTAGTAATAGAACTCCTGTATTTGTGTGTGAGAATCTATGAAGAAAATTCAGCTGATGAAATCCCAGCTTTTTATAGGAAGCATTTCTGGAATTTTCAAATGAAGCAGATGGTGCACTGAGATTTTTCTTGTTTATAAAGTAATATCTCTGAGCACAGTTGTACTTTTCTCATTCTGCTTTTCTTCAATGAAAATGCATGGGACAGTTGGAAAAACAAAATCTTTGAGATGGTGTTTAGATCAACAAGGTAAAGCAAACATTAGTATCCCGTGCTTCTCTCTAGTAACTGGGATTCTTTCCATTCATAGCATCTAAGTTCACTGCTCTGCTGAGTGGGACAGAAATTAGGTCTCTTACCTAATTTCTCCCTTCACGCAGGGAGTGGCTCTGCGTGAAGTGGAAAGAGGAAAAGGATCTTAACTGGTTACTCTTGGAGGACTTTAGGGAGGAGCTTCTTATGGTATCATAATTTTTATATCACAAGAAAGATCCAGTTACACTGTTTGCATTGTAACCTGCTAGGGAAGTTTAGAATAGCTCTCTGTCTGTGTCTGAGATGACTTGTCTAAATATTTATTTTTTTTTTACACTGTGGGTTTGAACTGCCTCATTTCTTCAACAAAGGTTTATAAATACTCTATCATATAACTTACCGAGAGTCCTTGATGTGCTTATGAATGTATTCTGCATGAGCTTGTGGAACCAAAGGGTCTTTTTCACCATGAATTATAAAAGTGGGACATTTAATATCTGGCAGCAACTCTTGGCAGATATTACCTAGGGAGAAAAATAAATGAAGGTCACACTTTGTTTTAAAATAGTATAAAAGACCGAAACTGCTTCTGTAAAGGACTGTGAACTCCACTGGGTTCTAGCCGATGCCTCTCCTTGGGGATAGTGTGCGATTAATCTACAGAACTATGTAATCAGGACTATAATTAACATTTCTTTCTCCAAAATGTTACTTCACTGAAATTTGCTTCATTAATGGATACTGGCACAAACAGATAGAGCAAATGAAGTATTCTGTCGCACATTTTCCTCAGGCTCTCTGTGACTGTTCAAAGTAAATACATGCATCTCTTCCCTGACTTTGTTCTTTTCAGCCTTAGAGTCTTATGTCCTTCATGTTAATGCTACATTTTGTTACACCAGTTGTCAGGTTACAAGATTTGCTACTTTTATTAACAAGTTACTTTAGGTTGTACTCATGCCTCTTCTACCTTCTAGACCCTTTGCCGTCTGCAACGAATAACCATTTAATACGAATTGGACTAAAATTATTCAAATATTCTCCCTGCCCATTCATCTTACAGAACCTCAAGAATAATTTATATTTACTAGTCTTTAATCTCACTAAAAGTAAATTTAATGCATTTCCTTGAAGACTTTTATATTTCCCCCCCCCTTTCTTTTTTCCTCATCCATTAGTAACAAACTTTCCAAACTCTTTGCCTAACTCCCCATGCTCTCGCAAGAGAGTATTTGGCCAAAACATACTTGACAAGTTTTATGTTCCATTTATCCTTGAGCTAACTTTTTCCTATCTGTAGTTGTCTCCTTGCAGCTACCAACAGCTGTACAGTTAATGCTCATATACACACACTTTCCTTAGTTCTAAAGTCATATGCTGTTTCACAGAGTTTTTTTTAATTGTTTGGTTATTTATGTAGTCTTCGTTCACAGTTCTGATGGTCAAATATTTTCATTTAGAACATTTCACCCTTAGTCTTCAAACACCTGCACCGATGTTGACTGTTTTGCTGAACAAGTAATAAATTGAGGTTATTTACCTAAGGACATAGTTGGCAGTCAAACTATTATTTCCTAGTTTCCAGTCCTAAAACTGTTCTGTACTATGGCCTCTAGATTATATTTACTCCAAAACCACAGAACAGCAAGAGGAATCTTGAATTTTGCAGCTTTATGCAACTTAGTTTCATTAAGTGTTGTAATCTTCTAAAAGTTCGTTTCTTACAGCATTTTACATTAAAACTGTCCCATTTGGGGCAAATAATCTTTTTATTAAAAAAAGCTTGAGATGAGTTTTTGACAAACAAAGGCTTTGCTGTCCTCCTTTTATCTCTGATGAGTTCCATCAACCTCTTTTCTCATATTTTCCACGTCTGCTCTTTTTGTGTACTGTGTCTTAACTTTAATTCCAAGGAGGCCTGCTTGTAGTCTAAGTTGCCCTCTCCAAGCTAGGCCTGGAAAAAATCTGCTGCTCATCTTTTTTAGCAAATATTAGGCTTCTCCCAATATCTGACTTAGTTACAGTACTTAGGTAATTCAGCTCCTTGCTACATGTCTCCAGGTGGCTGCTTTTTCACAGTCACTCCATCTCAGTGTCTGAGATGTAAGCAGGCAGCAAAAAGATGTCACAGCTAGAGTTTCACCAGCCTGGTCTTTGAAGTTAAGAATAAACTAGTTTTAAGGAGATACACTTTAGAAAGGGTAAAATAAAGTCGGATCATAATTTGTTACATCACTCTACTGGGAGAAATTCTAGTACCATCTTGCTGATCCTGTGCTAAACTTTATGGAAAAAATATGAAATGAAGGAATTTTCTCCTTGTACTACCTGCTGCCAGTTAACATATGTCACCTCCTGTCTCTCATTATGAGAGCTACAGGAATATGTATATAAGAGAATTACAGACCGCTTATGTATTATGTATTTCTGATTTAGGCAAATTAAAAGCTATTTTCCTCTGAATTCAAACAGAACTGCAGGTTATTATTCATGATATCATTGACTGCAAAAGTCTATGTAGAGTAATTGCAGAAATATTCAGAGATAAACATTTAATAGTTATACTGTCTAGTTTAACTACTCTTTTTGGATTTTTTAAACACCTAAGCAGTGTCATTAGAGTTTTTTAAATCTATTTTGCTAATTCTGAGTTCTCAGAATGTGAACTTCCTTCTTTTTTAACTCATATGCTACACGGTTTGAAATAGTGTTTCCACTCCTGTCTGTAGAAACTGGAACGAACACACCTCACTTCTGAGATATCTTAATAGTGTCACCAAGAGGAAATCCTTCAGCACAGAGAGAGGAGAGGAGAAAAAAGCTTGAGCAGAATCCCTCCTGTTCGGTCTGCACAAAAGCAACGATTTAATAATGTAGTTTTGTGGTGGAACAAGAGGAGAAACTCATCAGCTAATACTTCCCATAAATGTGTTTTCCTCCTGTACCTTGCTGGTTATGTGAACCATCTACAAAGTAATTGCTTTATTCATGAGTGTGAGTCAGACCCAGCTTTTAATGCCATAGGCAGAGTCTTTCCTTTACTGACTGCTAGGAGTACTGTTAGATTTCTATCCAGAATTGTCTGCTACTGTAATTGCTTCAGTTTAACATTGTAAAAACCTTACCACCTGATTTTTCAGCAAAGCGAGATATTCCATCTACCCAAGCCTCACAGGTTCTTGCAAAGTACTTATGTCCATACATATCTTCCAGTGGTTTCTTGACCTTTTCACTCCATTTTGAAACATCTCGGATGCCTACATAAAATAACATTGAAATATGTTAAATCCTTTCCAGCAACAAGATATAACCCAGTATTGTCAACACCTAATATGAGTAAGTTTTCAAACCAAACTGCAGCTGTATATTTCAAACTTGAAACTGCACTGAATGGTTTTAAATAATTCATAGTACAGAAATGATATAAAAAAAGGTAGTTTTATGATTTATGCTGGGATCTTTCTGAGTTGCAGAAGACTGTCTTGTTATTACGGTCACAAGAAACAACAGGAAAAAAAAATAATCAAAGGACTCAGTCCTAAAACTTCTGATGTTTCTTTTTGGAGGGCTCTCAGAAGAGGAGCTCAAGGAGGTACCTTGTGTATAAAAAAAGGGCTTGTTCTATAACAGTGTGCCAAAGCTGGCAATTCTTTATTATATCCTTTAGCCTTTTGCTTTGGCTCATGGATGGTAGTTCTTCCATGGCTCCTACTAGTATTCAGAGGAAGGAAGCTCTTACTAAGGCATTCCAGCAGGCTGACATCACGGTACATTTGCCATAGTCTTACAGAAAAAGAAGCAAATCTACTTAGAAGAGTCCTGTGACTCATGGCAGGCTGGCTAAAGCTGTACAAATAATCTGACATTCTAGTTATTTATTTATCAGATCTACCTTTTTTTTTTTTTTTTTTTTTCCCCAAAAATTTTCAGGACTGCTCACAAACCAGATATCCACAAGGGTGACTTTCACTAAGCTACAATTCAGCTGTACAGCTTTGTATCAATAAAGGCCAAAACAATGTTGGCATAGTAGAGAACCTGAAAAATACTGAATCATCAAACAGCAATATATGCCTCTATCAAAGGTTTTAATCGGTTTCAAATGGGATTTAAGGGAAGAAAGAAGTAAGGTGTTAATTAACAAACAGAACCTGTCCAGCCAAACGAGCAAGGTAGCAGTGACTGAAAGTTTTGTAACAGCATCTGATTGGAAAGGAGTTGGCTCACCCCAGGGTAGCAGTTACTGAACAGCTGTTTCCCTGATAGAATCTACTGTTTTATCCTTGCAGCTGGCCTTAATTTAAAAAGGCGGGGGAAGTCAATGTTGAAAGGGCATGGATACCAAATAAACACCTTTCTCTCCTACCAAACCCTCCACTGCAGCCGAGATGCACTGATGGGCCATTTGCAGAAGGCTTGTGCTGCTACTCTCTGAGTTCCATCATCCAGAGAGGAATGTTGAAAGCACCAGTCCACAAAGAGGCCAAAGATCAGCATTGCTGTGGGTTCTCTGTTTCAACTAAGACCACTTTTTTTTTTTTTTTTTACATTTTAGCCTCTTGGCTGATACTGACATAGCATGTAAAGAAATAAAGCAGTACTTTTACAGAGCTAAAAAGCATTTTGCTTACTGAACTAAAAACCATACTACTACCAATGAAACTGCTTTAGTATAGGTGAGGTAAGTACACATGTGCAATACATACACTTGTAATTTAGCTGAAGCAAGGCAGATTTCACAGCTGGTATAAATCAAACTCCAATCACTTAAATGAAGTTATACTGGTTTACATTTGTTGAGAGCCTGCATGGTTAACTCTTTTAATTTCAAAAGGAAATAAGGTCTTTTTATGGGTTCACTAACAGGTTTTGCTATTTTGCTTTAAAGTGATAAATGGCCAGATTCTATTTCATGTGAGTGGTATAGGGATCAGAAGTTCCACATTTCTTTACTTTGCAAAGGTTTTGTAACCACAATAATTAACTCTAAAGGAATGCAAATTAGAAATGTATCCTGGGACATTTACTTGAATGATTCATTTACTTCCTGAACACAAATGGTAAGTTATGAGCTTGTTTTCTTACTGCTATGTATTTTATAGGCCCTAGAGGCAAAACCTGTTACATGCTAGCCCAGTGATTTTCTGTGGACCTTGTCTAAAGATTGTGCAAGATGTGAGAAAGGAAATCAAGCCAGGGATCAGTAGTAGTATTTTCAATTTATTTTTAGGAACCTGTTACAGCAACAAAAATTGTACTTTCTGAAAACTACTGATAAGCTATTACAGCTAATGTTTTTTAGTAGCTGTTGGTAAGGACTTTTGAAAAATTCCATTATATTGCCCTTGGAGTAATTGTTAGGGAGCTTCTCACTATGATTTTAATTTATCCTTATATTCAGCAACTTGTTAAATTTTCCGTCTTATTTCTTTAGGTTTGTTGTGTTCTCAACTCTGTTTCAACTGTTACGTGACAAAGATCCTTAGGTCAAGAAGAAATGAAAATAATTCTTTTAGGATACAATATTCAGCTTGTACATACCATTATAAATTCTCACATCCTCTTGAGTAACGCTGGTGTTTGCTCCCCAGACAACCAACTTGTGGATAAGAGTTGGATACTTTGCGGCTGCAATGAGTGCTGTAATTCCACCATCACTCCACCCCAGCAAAGAGAACTTCTTAAATTTCAGTGCCTTGATTTTGCAAGAAAGTTATATGCTAATCATCATCTGGTTTTACAAGCAATATCAAATATTTCTTGAAAACTAACAGTACAGTTTTAGACACAACACTATATAGTTGAACTATAGTTAACTTTCCTGCTATATGTAAAAATACTGAAGATTCAAATATTTAGAAAATAATAAATTATACCTGCCCTTCAATTTTTCTATATCTATTTAATAAAACAGGCAGCATCCATATTAAATTCTTGCTGCATTTAAAAAAGCCCTCTTGAAATTAAATGTTTATTTACAACAAAGAGCAAAGACCTTTTCAGAGAGTCTGATAGTGGCAACAATCTGCAAATTCTCTTAGTACAAAGTTGGCAAAGACCTATCACAGTGTGGGATGGCAGGTAATCCAAGATCAAGATGAATTTAAGAGAAGTTTAAGACTTGAAAAATGGAACCCAGTGTTCTATTTTACTGATGCTAGCTGATCTAAACAAACAAACAAAAAAATCTGCTTAGTAACAAACAAAATATGCTTAAAGCATTTGCTACAAGTGTATCAAATTTTAGTGCCTATTCCTGTTTTCTGAACCTTTTAAGTGTACACTTTAAATGTCATTTCATGGTGAACTGCAATTCAAAACATAATAAAACTCCTCCTTCTCAAAAAGGAAGGCTCAGGGCAAAAAAATTGACAACTAAGACCTTAATTCTTTCTGACTTGTACATTGCTTTCCACTAGAATTTGAAACTCGTTTCCTCAAATACTCCAATTTGTAGTAGAGGGTATTGGCAGGGACAGGAGAGAAGATTTTGTGTGTGTGACATTCAGTGGGGAAGGTAAAGGCACTCGGAGGCAAATGATTCTGAAAGTTATAGAGGGACAATATTTAATGGTTAAGCAGTATTAGCAGTTTTGCATGCAGAAGTCTCAGTTTGTGAACTTTTTTGCTGACAAACATAATAGCTTTCAAAGTTAGTTGTTTTTTTAATTGTTTTGGCTTGGGGGGGTAGGGGGGGTGGCTGGTGCTGGTGTAGTGTTGTTTTGTTTTCCAGAAATTACAGCCTTTTAGATGTGATTTAGATATACTCTTGGAGGAAAAAGAGCAAGTTAGTTGAATGAGTTGTTTTGGTGCTTGGTGTTTTGTTGTTGGAAGTCCAGGCCTGCCTTCTTTGGACAGAAGAAAGTGAAAATGCAGGCAATGAGGGAAACAGTTTTAGAGAAAAAGCATTTTCTAGTCTGCTTGTAAACTTGATGCTCAAGTGAGACATAACTTTATCAGTCAACTCAATACTTAGCAAATTTCTTTCACTGCAAGGCTTTTCTGGTTTTGTCTTCTTCTTTGGTATTAGGCTTAGTGTAATGTTGTCCAACATTAGAACTCACTCTGCTGAGCTATAATTACTCAACAGAAAAGAAATAATGTAGGGGAAAGAAAAGAACATTTAAAGTAAGAGCTGACAGTAAGAAAAGAGAACCTTGAATTTTAGCAGCTCATAAAGTTGGCTCTGGCCTGCTGAAATAGTTATCTGTGACTAGATTTCAGTATGGTGCTGCTGAAGGGTTACTAGTGTCTTGGCAAGTTTCAGGAGTTGGCAGTAATGGTTGTAAAGCTTTAAGTTTTTATTTTTGATGCTGCTGTTCCCCTACCACCAATAGCAAATTCTGGATCTGAAACTTGGCTGATGGATGGAATAGCTGATTAAAATTTCTGCTCTTTGTGCCAAGCTATTTGCCAGTGCTTCAACTGAGATCTATTTGCCTCCAGTATTTCTCTTGTTTACTAGCCCTTATCTCGATGCATTCCTTGGGTTGTGTCAGGATGCCTTTCCAGCAGGAGGAATTTAATTTATCTGTTGCAGCCTTACACAAAACAATGTGATGTAATAGATGTGTTGGACATGGTACATGTGTTTCCTTGCTTTAATCTTGAACTACTTACACTACTGGCCTCTACCTAATGCTGGCAATAACCTGATAGCTGGCTGCACAGCTGAATTTTGTGGGTAATTTTGTCCTAGCTTCACCCTGTAAGTAAACAAAATCTCTTTTGAAATCACATCCTCTGTCCAGGCCTATGTGAAATGCAACCAAATGATCACATATGCTGTGACAGAAGTAACTTAGAACTGTGAGTTGCAATAGAACAGCACTCTGCATTGTACACTTTCACTGGATCACAGGGAGTATATCACAAGTAAGGGTTGCAGCTGATCTACAATAACTTGGAGAAGACCAACCTCATCCTTTCACTAGGACAGTAGCTCTAAAAAGTAAGAACCTCTTAAATACCAACACTAATTATTTCCATAATGAATGTTTTAAGGCTATTGGCCTTTGCTAGTGTTAGACATTGGGATTGAGTGCAGCAAAGTGGACTTATTTGCATTATACTAATTTTATTTCAAGCAAACTCCCTCACAGAACACATACGGTGATAGAGAGCAGTCATCTAGATCAAGGTGCTAAATACTCAGCAGAATTTCAGCTTTTGCTATTTCACAGAAGTCTTGCAGCACTCACAGCTCCAGCAGAGATACCAGAATATGAGGGACCCTAGAATAAAGGTTCTGAAAACTCACTTACACAGATGGGGTTTTTTGGCTGTGTGTAGGCCAGGTGATGTATGTAAAACATACATCATGATAAAGCCCTCTGCAGGAGTTATGACACTTTTGTTCTGGAAATCCCAGTTGTGATGATTCCTTGGGATCTGTACTATAACTTCTTTGTTATGCTAAAATAGAAGCAAGTTATCCATGCTTGGGGAGATTTTAATAGTTTGCTATTATATGCTTGTATCAATAAACATCTACAATAAACCCCAGGATGTTATGTCTCATTTGTTTAGGCAGCTTTCGAGGTTGGTAGGCTGCTGCCCTGTTTGACTGGAAGCTACATGGGCGCAGCTCTGTCTTCTATTTTGCGTTTATTAGTATTTGAACAGAGGCAGGAAAGTGGGCTACAACCATTGAAACTGAAAATTTGTCACCGATCCATGGCAGCATCTTTTTCTTTGTTAGCATAGCAGAAGAAATCGGTGATTTACAGTGCAGAGGGATTGCTTTTATGGTTAGAGGGCAAAACAGTGTCTTAATCCTGATTCTGCTGTCAGATTTATTTTGTTTCGCTATGCAGAATATTCCAGGAAGGCTGCATTTGCAGTTTTAGATGGGTTTCTGCAAGGTTAGTGCCGATTACAGAAATACAGTTGGACTTACTGTCTGAATCTTGTCTCATATTTTTGGAATTTTAATGTTCTGCCAACTTTCTTAACATGGTCAAAGAGAGTCTATAGCTTAATGTAACAAAGCCAAAATATTAGTTAAAACTAAACCAGAAAATAGTGCTAGCACTTATAGGACAGAATAAAAGAGGAACACATAAAAACAGATTAGAAAAAAAAAAAATTCTGTAAGACAGAGAAATAAAGAATATGACCTAAAGCTGTTATTTTATAATCACAATAGTTGTATTAGTTATTAAGATCTGGTATGATTCCAGGAACTTTTTGACTTCCCACAAAATTTATTTCAGTAATATGCTGCAAAATGCAAAGTGTCAAGTTAACTTTTAGAGTCAAATGTTTTTTAAATAGGCTGCTTAAGACAAAATGCCAAGATTCTAATAGCTAGAAAATTTTCTAAGAGCCTTTCACTACTGTAATCCCTTCAGTTAAACCACTTAGCATAGACTTTGGTTTTTACACATACTTTACCTAAACTTACATGGTTCTTGGCTGCAAACCTCTTAGGGCAGGGTCTTGGAATAAAAACATATTGCTTTATAATTAATTCCCACTGCTGAATCTCTAGGTATATTGCAGAAGAGATGGAATAAGAAAATATTTTCCAGAATACTGTGCAACTGCTCAGTTTTAAGCCTTCATTTGTATGCTCTTTTGCATAACTCATTGTCTGCTGGAAACAACCTTCTTAACAGTACTCTTCCTTCTCAAGAGTTTAGGAAAACAGCTTTTAGATAGACAAAAAAAAAAAAAAAAAAAAAAAATATATATAAAAAAATAATAATCATCTCAGAATAGAGTTACCTGCATAAGATCCACAGCATCTTTTGCATCCCTCTCAAAGAAATCTGGAGGAAAGTCTCGTGATGGAGGAATGGACTGTCCATATCCCCGAGGATCCCAAGCAACAATTGTGAAAAGTTGCTTATTCATAGACTTAAGCTGTGGTCCAAAATCAGTTTGACCACTCCCTGAAACATCATCATTTTCAATTACAATAACCACCATAATAAACACATAGTACACATACTCTAAATGGAAACCTGGGGCAACTTGTACCTTAATTCTAAAAAAGAGATTGTCCACCAACTGAAGTACACTTCATCTGTAATTGTAACTAACAATTGCAACTCTCAGACAGGACATACTACCATAAAAATCTTCAGAACTATCTGCAATACACACAGAGCAAAGCATTTCTGGTAGGGATGTAAGCCTACCAGAAACTGTGGTCTGCACAGATGATTTAATAAAGAGTCTTAAACTGAGTTGTGTGGGTAGGGATTTGCCTTTAACAGATTTAAAGCACTAGCACGGTCATTGGTATTTATCTGGACAGCACAAGTGAAATTGAAAGAGGAGGAATATAATGACTCTAGCTACAAATTTGTAGGTGAAAAGCACTGTGCAAGACAGTTGTTCTTATCTGATAAAACATTTCTGTGAGAATATTGGTGCTTAAAGCTGAGTTTTAAATACTTTATTGCCTGAGGAGACAGTGGTGCCAGAAAAGCACTAAACTCTAACTTTTGATTGTTCTAATATGTGTGTTACCACAGTAAGTCAAATACAACAATTTTTCTGATGCAGAATGATTTCTTTTATTGATGGCTCAGACCCTCAAGGATCACAAAATTTTAAACATTAATTATTTCAATCTATTGAATTATAAACTATATGAACATTAGCAGGAAGGTAAGATTGCAATTTACTCTTTATTTCCATTATGATCATGTGGTAACAGTATCATGTGCTACTTGTTTAAAACCTCTTTAGATCTAATAGATTCAAATGATGTAAATCAAATATCAAATTTGCTATCTGTTGTTACATTAAAAAAGCTGTTTAAGAGCTTTAAGATTTTGGTTTGCTGACTTGAAATATGTTCTCAAATACCTTCTCCTAAACTATCAACTGGCCTAAATGATAAAAGAGGCTGTATATAGTACACTAGGATGAGCTGACTGCAGCTTGGCATGATCTCTTGCAACATCAATTAATAGATAGTGTCAGAAGCAAAATACCAGGTTGTTTGAAAAATACCAATGCAACCTGATTAATACTAATCACATATTCTTACAGAGGCTTTGTATGAACCTCTGCACTATCATGCACATGCTTGTTATACTATATTTTTTGTAATTTAAAAACACACAAGGCTGAGAACATATCTGAATCGTTTTTCTTGGTTTTCTTAGTATTTTTCTAGTTAGAAGGAGAAACATCACTTTGTTTTAATGTAGTTTACAAATAGTTAAGAGACAGATTAATTCTGTTGACCTAAAAGCACTTACCTTGTTGCCACAACACATTTATTAGTCTGTTAATACTGTAGGTAGTATAAAACAATATTAAAACCACTGTTGGTACAAAGGGAAGAAGTATGTGATGGTCAGAATGTAAAGATCACCCCCACATGTTGCCCCAAAATATTAAATAATAAATTTTGCCATTATTAAAATACTAAGCCTAACTATTACGGTTTGTAATAATGGTAACTGAACAATAACAATGTATGCCTAATAATAATATCATCACAACTGAAGAAATGCATTATTTCTATTTAAAGTTAGCATTGGCAATAGGATTACTGGTTTAAAAAACTGTTTAAAATGAATAGGTTAAAACATATGACTAATAAAGCACCCTAGCATTAACTTTTTTCCACCCTCCCCTTGAGAATTCTTTGAAAGAAAGAACCACTTCACAAAGACTTGAAAAATATTGCTGCCAAGAAGAACAAATGTTTCCTGCTCTTCAGTCCTTTGCATTCTATCGTGTTGATCCAGCAATTATTAAGCATGAGCCCAACTCTGAGCACAGTAATGGTCCGACTGACAGCCTGCCATGAACTGCTAGTAAGTCTGATTGGTTCTTCAGAACTGCAAGAACCCAGGAAAAAAAAAAAGCCTGTGTTAATTTTAAAAGGTTAACAAAAGTGGTCTCGATGGACAGATACCACTTAGCTAGCAGAACCTGTTGTTCTGCTCTCTAAAAGCCATTGAGAATCCTAATTATGTTGTCCTGAATAACCAAAACATAAAAATACATTTTTAAGCAAAAAGCAAGTCTCAACTGTGCCATTTTCGCTATGATATTAAACTGCAAGTGCTGCATTATGCTTATTAATTCAATTGGAATGCACCTACTTTCTAAAAAGGAATGCATAATTCAGTCTCTGTAACAAATATAGCTGACCTGATTTTTTGCCCCCTGTGTTATTTTGCACCCCATGTAGGTAGCTATTTGCCACCTGTGCTGGGCACCCCCCTTGCACAGTTAAATCCAAAAGTGCACATGAATATTACACCCATTGAGACATTGTATAAAAGGTGTCTGGTGAGATAAATGAAATCTTTAAAACCTGTTAACGGCTTGAAATAACTGTCTTTTCCTATCTGTTGTATGTGTAGCGATTTTTTTAATGACAAATCTCCATAATCAGGTGTGGAACATATTACAAAATACTTATGTGCATTCTGGCTTGAGAGGGGATGGCAAAAGAGGTGGTTGCTCTACAAAGATAAGACAAAATCTCCAGACCTAGCATTCCGGGAAGCAGGAGGACTGCATGGCTTCCTTCTCCTGTCTGCTGATAATGCAGGTGGACTCCATTCACGTGGATTTTGGCAGATGTTATTGAAGTACTAGGGATGGGGAAAGGGGAAAGAAAAAGGAAAACATTCAGACAGTTAATTCTCATAACTACATGGTCATTCAAGGAAGATAGGATGAAGATATTAATGACAATACAGTGAGATTTAAATGGGTCACTTGCCTTTCATGGATGCACAAAAGACTAAATAAAAAAACTTGTCAGGAGTAGAGAACGATTCAGTTGTGGCCATTATTACTTAGGTTTCACAAAAGTAGTTAAATTACTTTAGTTAAAGAGGAGAAAAAAAAGTCTGCTCTGCAACAAGGGAAATATAAAAGCAGCTTTACATGGCTACAGAAAACATATCGAAATACATACATTAGAGAGCAGAAACCTCATTCTGTCACATCATAACTTTTGAAATGGCTGGTGTTCATCTTATTACTAAACTGAGTCACTCATCTGCCAAAGAAACCACAATCTATTGTTAGGGCTTCTCATGAACCAAAGGGTCTACAACAAAAACCACCTTGTACTGAGATGAGTGTGGAGAAGAAGAGTATGATAATAATATATGTCAGTATAATCTCAGCAGGAGATAATGCTTAACTGGAAAATACCACATGACCAGAAAAACCCACCTACTGGAGAAGTATCACAGAAACCGACTGCATAGGCCACCTCTCAACCCTGGCCCTTACACCCTTGCATTAACCTTCAGTACAAAGCAACACATAATGCGTAAATGCAAACAGGTAACATGAGATACTACGTCTACATACAAACACCAAGTGAGAAAACAGAAGTAACACAGGTTGAAGATATCTTCTTAACAATATAAACCATTACATCTGTTCTGCCAAGCAAATTTGTACCCTAATGGTTGCAAGACATCTTTTCAACAACCTAACTCATTTTAGTTAAAGGTAGTAATATGATTACAAATTTGATTGTCTAAATGTTGACTCTCGTTCCTTGCACTCCTCAGTTTATCTAGATTTAGATATTCTTGCCCTATGCATTCAATCAGTGTGAATTTCACATGCATACAGAAACACTGTTTTCCAATCTTATACATAACAATCTGTATTCCATGATATACACTGTGCAACTTATTAAAAATTCAGTTTTAAAATATAAATTCTGAACTACTTCCAACATGTAAGCAGTCCCACCCATATAGAGTTTTAAATGGTGGATTAAAGGTAAAAAAAATCCCATAAATTTAAACCTTTCTCATAAGGAAAATGAACAATAGCTTGAAAACTCAGGTTCCCAATACATAAGCAGCAGTTAAACCACAGAACCTGTTCAACACAAAGCCACATATCGCCTTGGTCTACATAACCAATTATGCCACATGCCTAAATATAAATTGTGACTATGCAGAAGGGGATCAGCTCCTTCTACCTGTACAGATCTAATTTGAGAACCGGAATGCAAATGCAGATCCGCATTTCTTTGAACTGTATTCTTGCCATTGTGTCATTATAACTTCAGTGAGTTTCGCTGAATCGTTATGCAATTGTTATTCAAGTGATTAGTTTGACTGTAATGTTAAATCTCCTTTAAATCCGTGTATCACACCCAAGGTGGCTATACACAACTTGAATTCTGAATGTAGCATTTAGAAGGCCTTCTCATTCCCTTTTTGAGTATCTCATTTTTGCTTTTTTTCTATTTATAAAAGAAAATGGGCTTTGGGTTTTGTTTTGTTTTGGTTTTTTATATACCATCTTTTGGTTTATCTTTTCATTTCAACAGGTTATTTTATCGTCGTTCTCACCATAGCAAATGAGCACCTTGCTCTTATTAAATTTTACAGAACTATTTTTTTTCTTCTGATTAATAATTGCCAAAAACATTTCCAGTTCCTAACAGAACAGAAATTATCACCATCTTGTCACCTTTTTTAAAATAGTTTAACAACATGTAGTTTTAATAGACAAGGGATGTATATTATTCTTTCCTGATTCAGATGCAAGGTTTTTTTACACAGTTCTTAGGCCTGTGATGTTAATAATTAATCCTGAGAATTTTGCAGAGTTTGTGGTGCTTTCCTATTCTTGGATTGCACCTCAGTGTAAAGTCCAATGGAATCCAGCAGTTTCACAAAGAGAGTATCTTCAATACTTTCTGGACTAAGAACAAACGAGTTGGGTTTTTTTATGCACAGAGAAACTGTACTGGAAGTGGCTATCCCTAAGACAGATTTGGTCTTCCTCACACCAAGTTTCTTTGAGACCGAAATCACTCCAGTGCGCTTATCAGCATGATGACTTCACTTCTGTCAAGTTTTCATGAAGACTGCATTTCCCGTTGATTGACATAATTAGAAATTATATCAAAACAAAACGGCCCACTGCTTTGTAACTGCATTAGTGAATGTTAATGTTTATAGCTCTTTGGGTGTACTGCCTGTGCTTACCAAGACAGCACAGATGCAGAATAGGAAGGTCTTGTACTGCGCCTTGCTTGAGGCTGGACCTCACCTCTTAACTCTGTAGGAGCGCAGCTTCATCTGGGAACTACCTTTCTGTTCCAGCTGTGCTAATATACGACCTAGTCTTTATCTGGGCGGGGGCAAAACTATGGTATTACATCTGTTTTCCTTAACGGGATTTGCAGAATAAGCAGTGTTATATACATTACATATAGGCGTTCTCTTTGCAACCTCCAGGAAACGGCTTATCCGCAAGTGGCAGGGGAGCAGGTCTTTCAGCAAAATGGACTCGCAGAGGGAGGTGCAGCTCCTTGCAGCGTTGGGAGGCACCTAAGGAAAGGGCTCTTCCCTCCCAGGCCCGACGAACCTCCCGCCTAACCGCAGAAGCGGGCACCTCAGGGTACTACCGCCGCCCCCCCCTTGTCACCCTCCCAAATACAGTGCACACCCTCTGCTAAAACACCTTCACCACCACCCTCCGCCCCGGTGACACCCCCTCGGGCCTGTCGAAGGTCACCTTCCGCAACCCCGGGCGGAGGGGGCGGCGCGGGAGCCGGGGAAGGGGACGAGGAAGCGGCTGTGGATTTTACCCGTAGGAG